AAGTACCTATATTAAAATTTACAACTGCTAAAAGCTTTCTTTTTTTTTTTCCTTTGTTAAACCGTACAATATCTCGCAGATAATATACAGCTAGAGAAATAGTAAAAGGTTTGTTGGACCAAAAAAAAAAAAAATAAAGTCCAGTCAAAATCCCTCATCCGGTCTTTGCTGCAAAAAAAAAAAACACATCCTAACAAATTTTTAGAAAAGCTACTTCAGTTATCTAGTGCTCGGGAGAGGGAGATAGAGATGTGGGAAGAAGAGTTCACTTTAAAGACAACATTTTCAACGACTGTGCAACAACAAAACCCTGCGAAAAAAATGGTTCAGTTAGGTTGTAAGAATACTAGACCGTGATTTTCAGATGATAAATGAGTTTGGAATTTTGTCTACAAGTCCGCTAAGGCAAAATAAGGGGGTAACCCTTCGTTTGGTAAATAGTTGATGAAGTCAAAAACTATTATTTGGTGAGGTGTAAAAAGCAGCTTTATTTACACAAACTAGTGTTTAACAATTTGATTGTTTTATACTACTTTAATGTGACTGTGCCTAGAAAAACAGTAGTTAATTCGAAATATTTAATTAGCTAACTTGAAAACCTCTGTAAAAAATTATGTATTTTTTGATTTCAACCTAACAATTCGTAAAAAAACTTGTTTCTTACATTATCCTCAATTTAAGACAAAATTTGCAACACAAAACCGCGGAAAAGTACTATTTTGATGACAGTCAACTCAGCTTTTAATGTTTCTGAGCACTAACAGATACTTTTAACTGCATCAAATAAGATTCGACCTAAGTTCTCCGCGTAAATTCTTCAGATACCATTAAGCAGGCTCAATATTCAAGCTGAATGATTAGAACAGTTGCCAAAAGTAGTTTCTACTTTTCAAAAATTTACTTTGAGCAGATAAGCTGTTCTCATTGAGAAAGTGCGCTTACTTGATATTTTCTTCATTGGAAAGAGAAACGAATTGAGTGCGAAAGTATCGAAGCATTTTAACTTCAAAAAGTTTATTTTTTCGCAGCTACTTTGTCATATTTCTTTTATATTTCTCGTTCAGTTTAATCAAAGCAGATCAACAGATAAAGTGTTTGAAAAGATGACACACAATAGTACTCAATCAACAGGTTCTGAGAAATCTTTAGCTTATTGTCAGTAACGTGATGACCTACTGGTAAAATACATTAGAAAATACTCAAAAAACCTTTTGGCCCAAGACGGCAGAAAACTCAAAAATTTACGTTAGTGTCAGTGTTTGAACAACAGTTGTGTTCCATGAATAGGCCATACTCCTATGAAAATACCTGAGGAATGGTAAAAAAAAGTGAAAGATTCTCTGAAGGTGAATGTTGTTTATCAAACAAGAATTCTGCTTTTATACAGCTTTCAGCAAACGACAAGCCACTTTTATACTGAAAACACGAACATTATAACACTGATTTGCAGTCAATTTTAAACCAAAAAACCGACTTAGGAGTTTTGAAAATATTTAGAATGTATCAGATGCGTAGCTTACCACGCAAAGAATTCATCTTGAAAAATCTGTTTTTTTTTTTCTTTTTTTTTGTGAAAGCAGGAAATCGCAGTCTGCACGAGTTCCAGCAATGTCCAATCTAAGGCCCGAACACCTGGGAGCTTTCACACTATAAGGACTTAGAAACTACATTAGGAGCAAAATCAGCTAAACTCTTCTATCATCATAATTATGCACCAAAAACCCTCGTCCATTTTTTCTTTGCCGGTCTCAAATTCCTTTTTTTTTTTTTTGGTTCGTTCAGTTTCTCAACTTCAAATCGCTCTCACTCCCCTGGTTTCTTCCCTTATTCTTTCTGTTTTTCCCGCCTATCTTTCTTCGCCTATCTTTGCCACAGCGTTCCCATATTTCATGCAGTTTTTCTGGTTTATTTTTATTCCTTACCTCTTCTTCCCTGCCTTTTCAATTTTCTTCTCCCGTCCTCTTTAGTTTTCTAATAGTTTAGTCTTAATTTCTTTCTTATTTCTCTTACTCTTTTTCACGTCTCTGTAATATTGTGCTGCCCCTTCTCCCCGTTCATTTTTCCTTCTTTTTTCGCCTGCTTTGCTCAGTCGATTATTTCTTATTGCACCTTATTTCGGCACTTTGTAACCTTTTTTCTATAGTTCAGGTGCAGCAAAGCGTGGGAAACATTGGCGGAAGTGAACAAAAGAGAAAACCACGACAGCGAGGTGGCATGACAGCAGCTGCAGGCCACATGAAGTTTACGTTAAACGCAACTTTCCGGGCTGAAGGTATGGGTACAACAGCAGTGAAGCCTCAGATATGAACTGCAGGCGCATATGGAGTCAATGTTTTTAAAGTGGAACTAATAAGCAGGCCGATAATGATTAGTCAGCTTTTGGTATTGGAATTTTTTGTTTATCTTACTTTATCCACTTATTTATTTGTTTTTGTGAGTACAGATTAATATTTTATCTGTAGCTTCTTTTCTGCGTTTTAATATAAATCAGGTCTCTAGAAATGAGGCATATGATCGAAAGAAGATCCATAGCTTGTTGGGAAGGTTCTTTATAATGCTGGCTGTAGTATGAAAATTGTCCATTGCTTTTGTAGCCTCCGGCAATCTTCTTATTCTTCGTAACTTTTCTGCTGTACAGAACACTTGTTTTCGCGACATTCCCATTCCTTTAAAATTATGCTTAAATTATGCCTAACAAATTATGCTTGTTGATCGCTTTAGCGTGTAACTTTTTAACATGTAACTTTTGAAACCCACGTACTTGGTTAGTCATGTCATTAATTTAAAATGACCTTTGAATAGTTTAATGGAACTGAAGTAAAGGAGGTGTTCACTAAATGTTGCAGATGAACAAAATAAATTGTCATTACTTGCAATTGTCTGTTCTTCAAAAGTCTTGTCGATTCAAACGATTGCCTGACTGAGGCCAGTTACACAACTTTCACAAACAACGCCATAGACTGATAGGACACCATGCTTCGAAATTCCTGCTTTTTCTTTTTTTATTTGTTCATCCACTTAAATAAACCATCATTCAAAGGATTTGATTGCAATACTGAAATTAACAGTCGCTACAAGTTGAATACACTGAAAATCTATCTGCGAACATTAGTGAGCTACGATTTCAGAAGAGCGTACAATAGAAAAGAATAAGTGTTAAATACCTGAGCTCTGCCATTCCACTCATAAGTTCAACATTAATTACTGTCACTAATCATGTTCAAGAACACCCAGTAAAAATTGCTGTCGGGAACTGAATTTTGCAAAAAAAAAAAAAAAAAAACTCAGGGGGACTGCGTTGAAAAAGAAAAGAAAAAAGAAAAGTTGCAGACAGAAGATGAAATAAAACGGTGCCAATTGTATAGTAAAACAGAAAACGAGTTTGACGTGCAAGAAAAAATGTTCGCCGGCATAAGATACTAAATTGTACCTCACTCGCATCTCAAGAAAGTTACGGCAATCAGGACAAATTAAAAGTTTTGATTTGAGCGTCATTTACTATCACTATTTTTCTGCCAATGATCGATTAATCGGTCGTTTGAGTACATGTCGGACGGAATTAGTACTTATGATCTAGACTGTTTCTTCAATTACCTTCAAGTTGCAACACTTCTAAGACTTGATACAACAGTTATTAACAAGCTGCATATAACTGGCTACCCTGTGGTAATAAACAGGAAAAAAAAGCATTCAGGCACACTTCTGACGTAAAAAGAAAGGTTCCGATTCGGGGGGTTTACCTACACTAATATACAACAGCTTTACATTTGACTGTATCATCGGAATTGTAAACTTCAAAACAATATCGAATTTGGAAAGTTAGGTAACCTGTGAGGGAAGTGAACAAATTGGGCACTCTAGTGAACAGTCTTCAATGCGGCTCAATGAACGCCTTGAAATGCGATTAGTGGCGGGTTTCCGAAGGGGTTTTGCAATCGGTTGGCATATTGCCAACAACAGCAGCGGTAGAAAAAGCAGTTTTCAGGAGGCACATCTGCAACGGCAGCAAAAGGAGGTCGTCTGAAAATGGATTGTGATTGTTGCGGAGAACCTCTCAGCGTTTCATGTGTTTTGCAGCAGAATCTTTAAGATAAAGTGTCCTCTCTATTACCGCCTTTACAGGTTTTTCGCAATTTTGTTGTCGCCTGTAATTTTGCAGCATGCTTCTTGTGTATGTTGGTTTATGACGGCAAAAGTCTCGTTCATTACGAAATTTCTTTCGTCTTTTTTTGCCCTTGTTTTGCTTTCAACAAAACGGTTATAATTTTAGTTAGTTTTTGACTAGATAGAGAAAAAATAGGAGCATTATCTGTTCTACTTCTATTTTGCAGCTGAAATAATGGGTACAGATTTTCAGATCGAAAAATTGTCACTTTTTATTCATCGTACTGTACTGTTTGATTGTTTTTGAATCCAATCAAAACTAAAATCATATTTAATTAGAAATTTGCTGAAAATTCGTTTATTCGTGTACGTGTGTACGTGTATGAGAAAGTTTAGCGAAGAGAATTTTTATTATTGTAGCGGTTTTTTGACAGGTGGTCTTACGATGTTAAACTGAAAAGTTCACAAATGAAAGTCCGTCGGCGTTCAAAAGTTGTTTCATCTGACGAAAATGAAGGTGCATCTACTTCATACGACGACCGTTCACTACATCGTACCGCATCCATGGGTGGAAGACAAGGTAATGCTGATTAGGATATCATCTGAGGTTCTGCTCATCTGCTTATATAAAATTTTTGGGTTCTTAATTGATGTGGCTAAAATCAATTCATTAGAGTTGTTCATATAATTGGAAACTTTCTGTTTTGTTTTTCATTTCTTTGCTACCTGTTCGAGGTTTTTATTAGAGCAAGTTTTATCATTAATTTTTTTTATATTCAAGAGTTGTTGTATGTCTTGTGCTATATTGTTTGGAATGTCGTCTTGTCATTCTTTTGGATTTTTTAGATTCTACCTTTTATTGTCTTCTCTCTCTATCAGTGGCTTTCAAGCCAGCACATTTTTTTTCATTATTTAGTGTGCTTTGATAAAGTAAAAAAAGTCAAGGGATTGCATGTGAAAGTGCGAAAGAGTCTGCTTATTGTTTGGGTTATTAGAGGACGGTCCGGACTAAGATGCACATTTTTCTTTTCTGGCCAGAAATTATCCAATTCCTAGTTGTTAGGCTGGATGGACTGCGCTGCATCCATTTCATTTGTTGACTTTCATGTCTTAAGAATCGTACCGTTTTCCATCGAACTTGGTGAAAGAACAGCACTGGAGAGAGAATGCCATTTCAATCAAGATTGACTCCAAAGCTGCCAAATGCGTTGACGTGACGACTGTATTTGATTTTTTTAATAAACTTGGTACAGCATTCAACTTGACGCCCGTAACGGAACAACAGCTTGATGAAGCCATTATGTCTGAGGTACTTCCTGTCATGCTTTATAGCAGCTAGAAATCATTTTTTTCCTATTTTTACTTCAGTCATTTCGAGGATATTTTAGATGTCATTCCTTTTTTTACAGCGACCATATGGAAACAGCGAGATTTTAATCAGGATGATTGTAGAATTATTCAATGGTTTTTGCTCCATCGATTTTTCCCATAATGTAAAGATGTACCAGCGAAATAAAATCTACCACGAAACAAAGTCTGTCGTGTGTGCTTACAACATGTTTTGTTGATTATTTAGCTTTTCTATTGAGTTTTTTGGGAAAATTCTTAAACAGGATTGTAGGGGGCTGACCCCTCAGAATAAGAATTTTAATTTGTTTTTTTTTTTATCAAGTTCGAAACTGCTGTTTGGTTTTTATGTTTGTTAAACAATTTCCTTGACAGGAGTAAACTGATTTAAGCTCTGAAAATTACAATCAATCGCTATGGGTTTTTTTTGATCATGATTGGAGGTATTTGAGTCCAGAGCGATGGGAAGTGAAGAATGTCTTAGGTTCATCCAAAGGTTTGCTTTATTAGAATTAAATTGTTATTGTTTTTTTATCTACAGTTATTTGTTTTAGGTGCTTGTCGTATATTTTGACATTTAAAATTTTTCTAGTATATCTTTTTTCGGACTGCGGAAAGAGATGACTTAGCTGTTACAAATTATTTTAGTGATTGTTGCAAGATAAGTAACTGCAGTTTCATAGACGGGTTTCAGAAAATGCAGACTTCTTTGCACTGCCCTTCCGCTTACGTAGTGCTCTGTTGCTTGATCTTTGCATTTACAGGCTTGCTTGTCCAGACGCCCAGAATATAATTGATTCAGTGCGTTGCCTTACAGTTATTTATTTGTTTGTTGCTTTTAATACCAAAATTCTACGTTTAAAATTATTCTTTCTGCGGTCTATGCGGAGGATGTGCCATGTGGGATTTCAGGCAATCGATGAAGGGGCATCGCTTGGCTGTCAGCTTCGCACCAATTCCCTTGGGTCTATTGACAATGCGGATTTTTATTATTTTGGAGGTATGCGAGTTTATCGGTCGAAAATACTTACTAAGAAGGATCTGAGTGGGTTAGTCTTTATTTCGTAAGTTGCGTTTTTAAACTTTTATCGTTTTTAATAAATTTTACTGGACAGATTGAAAAGTCAGTTTTGTTGTGTAACTCTGAGGTTTGCTGCAGAATATTCTTGAAAGGCTGGTTTTTCTCAACGATTTCTTTGAGATTCTTTTCTGGTTTATATGGGATAAATTAAGGAGAAAGTCGAAAAAAGTTTTGGCTAGGAATAGTGGTGGGAAGAGGCAGAAGCTTCAATCGAAGGAATTCTCAAAATTGAATCCATCTCCTACAATGTCAGATTCCCGAAATAATGCTGTTGTCAGTCAGTCGTCTGTTAGAGAAGTTGATTTGGCGCGGTAAATTTGTTCCGGTTTTTTTATTCTTTTTTTATCATTTAAATGATACTTATGGTGTTATGTACACATTGTGTTTCGTAGTGGAATTTGGTTTATTTTAAGAATAGATGCTTCGACTGCTCTAGCTAACGAAAACGACAGCAGTAAACTCAGTGAAAACAACGAAGGGGACGCAAATGTGAAGTTGGATGAGCCAGTGGCAGTTGAAAATAGTGCTGAACTTGATGATTTGATGAATCAGGTTTAATTTTTAATTGAATATGCGATTACTCACAATTTAGAGTGGAGTGATCGTGATTCCTCTGTTTACTAGTACCTTTTTTCGAGCTAATAAAATGAAACGAATTTATTACTTTAAAATTTTTTCGGATTAGCTTGAGGTTTTTCAGGAGTATTTTACACATTTAAATGATGAACAGTTTGTTTGGGAAGTCGTGTGTTCTTGTGAGGATCATGTGCACTACCTCATTGAATACTTTAGAACGAGCCATAACGCTGGTTCTAAAGTGCTGTCTCAAGCACTGATAAATTCAGTATTACCATCTGTACAAGAATATTCACGCAAGGTTATTATCGCGTTTTGCTCTACTGACTTTTGAGTTTACTTATCTTTTAGCTGTGTGTTTATTAGTCATCTAAAACACTCAGTCCTCTTTTACCAAGCTTCTGTAATTGTTTGTGTTTTTGTAACGAAAAGTGGCTTTTAAAATTTGATCTGGCTTAATTTTTTTTTTGTTCTTGCAGCAGAAGGAGAAGGAAAAAGCTGCTATGAGAGCATCTCGTTTCTTGCCGCGAGTATACAGTGGATCTCATTTTGGCGACTTTGAATTGAGGCACAGTAGGAGGTTGGAGGAGAAGAAAATTGAGCGCGAAAAGCAGTTAGAGGTAACTTTATGGTTAATTAACGTAGACTTTTTAGACCAACTATGAATTTTCTGTTGCACCTACTACTTTTTTTATTAGTACCAATATTCAAATTTTTTTTAGGAACAAAAGAAAATGGAATTAGAAATAGAAAATATGATTCGTGAGCAAGAGGGGAAGAAAAAGCTTCAAGAGAATGAAGAATTGGTCGAAGTCCAACCAAAAATTGTAATTTTTGGCTTCTTTTAATCGCGTTTTTTGTCAAGAAGAGAACCTTATTTTGTGGTTTTTAGTTTTGGTATTATCCATTTCAGAGTCGTGAAGAGAGGTTAAGGCTACGTGAGCAGCGGATTTTGGAACAAGAGGCAGAGAAGAGAAGGAAACAAGGTCATTTTTTTTTCTTTTGATGAGATTTCCAAGCTATCGTCGCGTTCCACAGTTTTTTTTTTTTTTTTTTTT